CGCTCTTCCGATCTAGAGAGAGAGAGAGAGAGAGAGAGAGAGAGAGAGAGAGCAATAGACGGTGGGCATTTTTGGTGCACTTCGAATGTGGCGTGAGTCAGTTTTGATGAGTGGCCTCAGCAGTGCACGCCTACTGGCATTGCTAGCGTTGGCTTGTGCGCGCCGGGCGTCAACCAGTCGCACCACAGTCTCGAACCAGGAAGCGATATCACCTGGAAGTGGGTCAACTGCAGGATGTACCCAAAACAGCCAGTCAATGCTTCCTATTTAAAACTTCAGGTGATAGGGTGCAAAACGGATAAAAGCATAAGCAGTCACTTTGTATGCTCTGTGCTGGAGAGAGAAGGGCACACCCTTCTGCTCTTTTTAACAGCCATGAACAGTGACAGTAACAACAGCAGCATCATCAGTGTCGCCGAAATGGCCCTTCCAGCGTTAACGCGTGAATGGATGGAGGCTGCAAACCAAGTCAGGTAACCGCTAGTCTATTGGTTAAACAAAGCCCAGAGGCGCGTGCGTTGTCTTGTCAATCAAGGTCAAACAGGAGGACCCGTGTGTGCACCCGTGCCTGGAGGTTGCCGATGAAGCAAGCAAAACACAAAAGCAGAAGCGCCAAGTTAAAAATAACCTACATTTTTCGAAGGCTTCATGTGCCACCTTCTGGTGAAGTGCTTGACCTGGTTTTTAGAATAATACCTGAAATACCAAGGAAGAGGAACGGATGAGTGTGCATAAAACATGGGCGAAACAACAGAAATTAATATAAAACGATGTTTTTCAGAAAGGGAACCGGAGCGGAAAAAAGTTTCTCGTAGCAAGATGGCGACAGCTCGACCGTCACTCTCGACGATGTCCACCACGACCTTCAGAAATTTGAAGGAAAACGCGGTAACTTCCGCTGGATTATGGTGAAAGTAGACTCACGGAGAATCCAACCCACTCTCTCACCACTCCCATACCGGACCCGATGTCAAGACAACAGTCAAGAGGACCGGAAATGGGAGGGGGCGCAGGCGGCTGGCGCAACTAACAGCACACCTCGCTAGGTAGACTCCCGCGTATGTGGGAGCGTCTTAAAGGGCACATTAAGAAGGAGCCATTGAGCCTGACTCTCACCCTGCAGTAAGCCACTCCGTAGGCCGTTCGTTCCCACCTTGTAACAAACTTTTTGGGTCATATT